GGGCCCAGAACGCAGGATTGTGCATATATATATATATTATACATAAGCAAACACATAAGACTTAAATTAAGTATGTGGGGTTCCTCGGTAGCGTAATTGCTTGGTTTTGCTTTTGCTTTGCCTTCGCACACACACAAACACACGCATGGTTTTGCATATGCTATGCTAGTGCTGCGCTGCGCTAAGCTAAGCTGAGCTGAGCTAAGCTAAGCTAAGCTAAGCTAAGCTAGGCTAAGCTAAGCTGAGATGAGATAAGCAACGCTAAGGCAAGGGGACGTAACTGGGGGAACCGCGGGGCGGATACTGGGGGAACCGCCGGGGCCGGTTCCCACTGCCCGGCCCTTTAAGCCAAGAGAGTAAGAACCCTTCTAGGCAGAGCCTAAATAGGGAAATACTCCCAAAATAATCAAAAAATGCAAAAATAATATGGGGTCTATTTTTCCCTACCTAGGCTCTGCCTAGAAGGGTTCTTACTCTCTTTGCTTAAAGGGCCGGGCAATGCTAACCGCCCCGGGCGGTTCCCCCAGTTGCGCCCCCTGGGTTCACCCAGCTTAGCTTAGCTTTAGCTTAGTTCTAGCCTAGCTTTAGCTTAGCTTTAGCTTAGCGTTAGCTTAGCTTTAGCTTAGCTTCAGCTTAGCTTCACTTAGCTTTAGCTTAGCTTCAGCTTAGCTTCAGCTTAGCTTCAGCTTAGCTCTAGCTTAGCTCTAGCTTAGCTCTAGCTTAGCTTCAGCTTAACTTCAGCTTGGCTCTAGCTTAGCTTTAGCTTAGCTCTAGCTTAGCTTCAGCTTAGCTTTAGCTTAGCTTTAGCTTAGCTCTAGCTTAGCGTTGGCTTAGCTTCAGCTTAGCTCTAGCTTAGCTTTAGCTTAGCTCTAGCTTAGCTTTAGCTTAGCTTTAGCTTAGCTATAGCTTAGCTATAGCTTAGCTTTAGCTGAGCTTCAGCTTAGCTTTAGCTTAGCTCTAGCTTCGCGTCAGCTTAGCTTCAGCTTAGCTTTAGCTTAGCTTCAGCTTAGCTTCAGCTTAGCTTTAGCTTAGCTCTAGCTTAGCTGCAGCTTAGCTCTAGCTTAGCGTTAGCTTAGCTCTACCTTAGCTTTAGCTTAAGCTTGGCTTTATCTTAGCTTTAGCTTAGCTGTAGCTTAGCTTTAGCTTAGCTTTAACTTAGCTTTAGTTTAGCTTTAGCTCAGCTTAAGCTTAGCTTTAGCTTAGTTTTAGCTTAGCTTTAGCTTAGCTTTATCTTAGCTGTAGCTTAGCTTTAGCTTAGCTTTATCTTAGCTTTAGCTTAGCTTCAGCTTAGCTTTGTTTTAGCTTTAGCTTAGCTTTACCTTAGCTTTAGCTTAGCTTTAGCTTAGCTTTAGCTTAGCTTCAGCTTAGCTTCAACTTAGCTTTAGCTTAGCTTTAGTTTAGCTGTAGCTTAGCTTCAGCTTAGCTTTAGCTTCGCTTTAGCTTGGTGCTAGCTTAGCCTTAGCTTAGCTTTAGCTTAGCTTTTAGCTTAGCTTTAGTTTAGTTGCAGTTTAGCTTTAGCTTAGCTCCAGCTTAGCTTCAGCTTAGCTTTAGCTTAACCTTAGCTTAGCTTCAGCTTAGTGTTAGTTTAGCTTCAGCTTAGCTGTAGCTTAGCTTTAGCTTAGCTTTAGCTTAGCTTTACTGTTACTACTAATGCTGATTTCCTAGGGGCTCCAACTCCTAGGTAGGGTCGCTCTGGGATAATTTGATTATCTTTGACCTTTTTGGGGTATGTTTGGGGTGTCTTTTATTTGTCGTCGAAAATCCTCCTGTAGGGGGACACGCCCGACATAAGCCTTGGCGCCACGCGCACTCGTTCCAAAAGTTGTGCAACAGCTTCGCGGGCTCGTAGACTTCAAAAACCCGGCAAGCGAATCCTGGCACCATTGAGGACTGTCAGGACGCAGCATTCACACTGACTCGCTGCGTTGAAGTCCAAGGAACTGTTTTTTTTGGCACGGCTGAAGACTCTCAGCCGGGTACTTCCCGCAACGAACCCAGGTCGTTTGCACGGCGCTGGGGCCCAGCGAGGGCCCCTGGAGACCGAACAGCCGCACGCCACGTGACACCCACGTGACACACACAACACACACACAACACGCACAACACACACACAACACACAACACACACAACACACACAACACACAACACACAACACACACAACACACAACACACACACACACACAACACACACAACACACAACACACACAACACACACACACACAACACACAACACACAACACACAACACACAACACACAACACGCCACACCACACCACCACACCACACCACACCACACCACGCCACGCCACGCCACGCCACGCCACACCACGCCACGCCACGCCACGCCACGCCACGCCACGCCACGCCACGCCACGCCACAGCACAGCACAGCACAGCACAGCACAGCACAGCACACACACACCACACACTCACACACCACAGCCACACACACAAACACGCACACGCACACACACACAAACACACACAAGCACACGCGCACACACTTTTTGCGTCGGCGGCTGGGCAGAGGGACTGCTCCGGCGATGTGGAATTAGTGGGTCGCACAAAACGTAAATTAAGCCGCAGGGCACGCGGGAGGAGAGAGGAGGCCCAGCGCGGGCGGGAGGGAAAAACATACACACACACACACGCACACGCACACGCACACGCACACGCACACGCACACGCACACGCACACACACAAACGCACAAACACACACACAAACAAACAAACAAACAAACAAACAAACAAACAAACAGACAGACACAGTGCACGCAGGGAGGAGAGGGATGCCACCTGGCGCGTGTTACTCATCATACATACACGCATGTACAGCCACCTTAGGGGGTGCGCAGGGGGGGTCCCTGAGTGCGGCCGCTATGCGGCCCTGTCGTCAAGGCCACAGCAGGCGTGGCATTTTTTCGACACAATAAGGGGGTGCGCAAGGGGTGGGCCTTGAGCGCGGCTGCTGTGCGCCCCCGTCGTCCAGGGCATAGCAGACGTGACAATTTCTGGACACAGTAGGGGGTGCGAAGGGGGTGGTCCCTGAGTGCGGCCGCTATGCGCTCCGGTCGTCCAGGCCGCAGCAGGCGTGCCAGTTTCTCGACACCATAAGGGGTGCGCAGGGGGTGGCCCCTGACCGCGGCCGCTATGCGCCCCGCCCCGGTCGTCCAGGCATAGCAGGTGTTGCACTTTCTCGACACCATAAGGGGTGCGCGAGGAGCTTTCCCTGAGCGCGGCCGCTATGCGCCCCAGTCGCCAAGGCCACAGCAGGCGTGGCACTTTCTCGAAACCATAAGGGGTGCGCTGGGGGTGGTCCCTGAGCGCGGCCGCCATGCGCCCCGGTCGCCCAGGCCCACTTACTCGACACCATAAAGGGTGCGCAGGGGGTGGTCCCTGAGCGCGGCCGCTATGCGCCCCAGGCATCCAAGCATAGCAGGCGTTGCACTTGCTCGACACCATAAGGGTGCGCGAGGAGCTGTCTGTGAGCGCGGCCGCTATGCGCCCCGGTCGTCCAGGCCACAGCAGGTGTGCCACTTCCTCGACACCGTAAGGGGTGCGACAGGGGGTGGTCCCTGACCACGGCCGCTATGCGCGTCGTCTGTCCAGGCCATAGCACACAAGGGCGTAGCGCGCGTGGCATTTTCCCGAAGTCGATGCGCAATACGACCAAAATTTTTGCGATCTGGCTCGTTGAACGCAGATCTATCCGGCAATGCTGAAACATCTGGTCCCCGCGTTTTGGACCGCGCGCGGCTTCGTGGTTGCCGATAATGGTCGTGGCCAGATCGAGGCTGTCGTGTTCGTCGCACGGGAACACAATGTCCACGTGGAGCTTGTCCAAAAGGCCCGCTGGTCTGTCCCTATAGTAGTGATGGTAGCCTCACCAGTGGTCTAAGTGTTAGCAGTGATGTTGGCCACATCTATCAGATATGAATGAAGTATGGGGGGCTCCTCGGTAGCATAATCCGTTGCACGACGCGATCACGTCTGGTCTGGGATTGCGAGAGAATCGCGACATCGGAGCGCTGGGGACCGACGACGACGACGACGACGCGCCGCTGGCCTGGCCGCAGCCGTCTTGGGGCCCTAGGGGGCCGTCTTCGGGCCCTGGGGGCCGTCTTGGGGCTCCCCATGGGGCCCCTTCGGGCCGTTTTGGAGCGTCGGAGACCCCGAGGCGAGAACGCTCACCCGCCGGTCGGAAGAAGTGGGTAGAAAGATGGAACCCAAACATGATCGCGTCGTAAAAAAATCAGGACGAAGGTTTTTCGCTATTTTCGGCCCCTGGGGACCCTCGCCGGGCCCCAGGACCGTCAAAAAACGACTCAGGACGACAAGCCGGCCCCGGGGAAAGGGTCGGGACTTCCAGGGACACCGTCCTGAAAAAATCACGTGGTCGCATGTGTGGGATAGGAGAGCGTTGACGTAGATCGGGCTTCAGTCCGCTCCCTGAAGAGGAGGGAAGAGGGACAACCGTTGGACTCTTGGAAGTAGGAAGGTGCCGAGTGTATATTGGAACCCAGGAATCCCCCCAAATACCTACTCTCAACGACCGACAGGGAAATCCTCCGACAAGAATAAGGGGAAATCTATGATCCCAGACCCCCGACGTCATGACTTGTTCCTGACGTCGACCCCCAGAGGCCTCGACCCATTCCCCAGGACCGGCTCCTCATCCCGAGTCGCTGCTTGACCCTCCCGAGGTCCGGCGGAGGCCCCTATAGAGGCAGCAGGCAGCGACGCACCTCCCGCCGGGATTTTCTTTCGTTGCTCGAGGGGGCCTGGGAGTTGGGCCCCTAGGGGCCCCCGTTGGGGGGCCCTGGCTGGCCTGGCCGCCGCCGCGCTCTCCTCCTCCTCCTCCTCCACCTCGCTCCTCCTCCTCCTCCTCCTCCTCCTCCTCCTCCTCCTCCTCCTCCTCCTCCTCCTCCGCCGCCGCCGCCGCCGCCGCCGCCGCCGCCGCCGCGCCGCCGCCGCACCGCTCGCTGCACAGGGGCGCGCACTGGAGCTCGCCGCCGGCGGGGGAGCCCGCGAGGCGTGCCTCCGCCTCGGGCTCGTCCTGCGGCGGGCATGGGGTGGCCACGGCCTAGCCCTGCCGAGGGGCCTCCCAGGAGGCCCCTCCTCCCCTCCTGCTCCTCCTCCTGCTCCTCCTGCTGCCCTTCCTCCACTTGCTCCTCCTCCTCCTCCTCCTCCTCCTTCTTCCTCCTCTCCTCCTGCTCCTCTCCTCCTGCTCCTCCTCCTCCTCCTCCTCCTCCTCCTCCTCCTCCTCCTCCTCCTCCTCCTCTCCTCCTCCTCCTCCTCCTCCTCTCCTCCTCCTCCTCCCCTCCTCCTCCTCCTCCTCCTCCTCCCCCCCCTCCTCCTCCTCCTCCTCCTCCTCCTCCTCCTCCTCCTCCTCCTCCTCCTTTTCCTCCTGCTCCTCCCCTCCTCCTCCTCCCCTCCTCCTCCCTCCTCCTCCTCCTCCCCCCTCCTCCCCTCCCCTCCTCCCTCCCCCTCCTCCTCCCTCCTCCTCCTCCTTCTCCTCCTCCGTCTCCTCCTCGCTCCATCCTGCCTCCTCCTCGTCCTCCTCGTCACGTCCTCCGTCCTCCTCGTCCCCTCCCCCTCCCCCTCCCCCTCCCTCCTCCTCCTCCTCCTCCTCCCCTCCTCCTCCTCCTCCTCCTCCTCCTCCTCCTCCTCCCCTCCTCCTCCCCTCCTCCTCTCCTCCCCTCCTCCCTCCTCCTCCCCTCTCCTCCTCCTCCTCCTCCTCCTCCTCCTCCTCCTCCTCCCCCTCCGCCTCTTCCTCCCCCTCCTCCTCCTCCTCCTCCTCCTCCTCCTCCTCCTCCTTCTCTTCCTTCCTCGTCGTCGGCGTCGTGGTCGTTAACGTCGGTGCGTCCACAGATTCTGCAATTTAGCCCTCGTCGCAAGGCAAATCTCTCAAGGGCACAGGCCGGCGGCAAGGCGGGCCGTCCCGCGCGCTCACACCTCCCCACTTCTCACGCGTCGCGCGGTTGGAAATGCCTCGGAGGCCTCGAGGAGCCTCGCGGAGCCCGTTTGGGGCCGTCTCGGGCCCCGAGCGAGGCCCCCGAAAAGTTATCCAGATGGCCACGGTGAACTGAATGTCTTTTCGTGGCGCTCTTGAGGGCCCCTCCTCGGGGCCCTTGGGGGGGCCTCTGGGAGCTCGCTCGGGGCTTCTCTTGGGCCCCGAGCGAGCTCCCAGAGGAATCCGCAAAGATATCCAGATGGCCTCTTGAGGACCTCTCGGGGTCCCTGAATCGTCAGCGTTGGGGGGATCTACGCCTATTGTCAGATCAGCGCCCCTGTCATCTCCGCGGAGTTGCGAACTTGGAGGCCAGGATGGGCTAGCGTCCCACACAGCTGCCTCGGCCAGCGCAGTACGTCCTCGGATAGGCTGGCACACCCAAACATTGTCCTGTTAATGATGCCGAAGCTCGGGGTGGAAATGCGGGCGTTTGTTCCGCTTCGCCACGTTGTTCCGCTGCTGGTATGCCGGGTTGCGGGAGGTGAAGAGAAGATCTCACATGCAACCCATTATCAGCCATTTGTGCTATCTAAAAGTGGCGGAAGAGTCAACTGTCGGGGAGGGTTCTATACCTTTTGTCAGATCAGCCACCACGTCAGCACCGCGGAGTTGCGAATTGGGGGGCCAGGCGTACCCCGTTGCGCATCTGTCGCTCGAGTACGCACGCGCTCTCAGAGTTCTGTCGCATGTGTGCCCCCACTCGTCTCACGCATGACTTTACTCAGCCTTCTGCAGAGTGTGAGGGCAAGAGATGAGAAAGTCACAGCGTCTCAATTGCAACCGCCTCCGGCAGGTGCCCTGAACCTCCAACTCCTCTGGCGCGCAAGCCAAGCACTGAGCCACGAACGTGCCACGCACTTCCGCGCCGCCCCGCTGCTCCGAGGACGGGCCGGGCACACCCAGGCACTGCCCTGTTCACGAGGCCGAAGCTCGGAGCGGAAAGGTGGGCGTTTGCCCCGCTTCGCCACGCTGCTCCGCTGCTGGCGCCCTCGCCAGCGGCGCCTTCGTGGGGAGGGGGAGGGGAAGGAGGAGGAGGAGGAGGAGGAGGAGGAGGAGGAGGAGGCCGGAGGCCGGCTGCACGGTGGAGCAGGTCCCGGCTGTCCCGAGGCCAGCGGGCTGTGGAGCAGCCCGGTTCACCCTCAGGGTGGTCAACCGTCCTGGCTGAGCGTTGCCCTTGCGCGTCAAGCCTGGGGCGGTGGCGCGCCTGCGGTGCAGCAGGCCCCCCCCGGGGCACTTTTCGGGTGGCGTCCCAGCCTGCGGCGGGGCAATGTCCCCTGCCCTGCTGTGGAGTGCCTTCCCCCCTTCACCAGCGGGAAGGCGCTCCTCCCCGCGGCAGGGCAGGCCCGTGTGTGCCCCCGAAGGGATGGAGCCGTCCCGCTTTCGACATGGTAGGGGAGCCAGCGTATAACGCGATTCTGGCGGCTGACAGCTCATCCTCTGCTCTGGCGGAGGGACATGCAACATGACTTCTCACCTGTACGGTACATGGCGACACGGGCCACCGAGGTGTCCCCTGTCTAACCTAAGATGCCGTACAAAGGTAGCCTGGGCTTACGCTGTCCACACATACCATCCACCTATACCCTGGTTGCACCCTACCGCACGTTCACGCACGCGCATTCAGCGCTGCGTAGTCTGAGTGCCCCCCCACTCATTTCCTTGACATCCTCACTCCGCCGCCTCATCCAAACCAGCAGGAGGTGATGATGACGTAGCCTCTCAAACACAGCCGCCTATGGCGTGTGCAGATACGCTCCAACGCCTCTGGCTCACAAGCTGAGGGAGGATTACCGTATATCACAACTGAGGTGGCTGACTAGTGGTATGTTGACACTCGTACCACGTGCCTGCAACGGTCCTACCGTTCCAAGGGTGGGTGACCCCTTGTGCACCATCCGACTTTACAGGGTTATGCCTACCCTCAAGGCATCAGCGCTACATCCTCCTCTTCCTCCTCCTCCTCCTCCTCCTCCTCCTCCTACCCCTCTCCCTCCCCCTCCTCCTCCTCCTCCTCCTCCTCCCTCCTCCTCCCTCCTCCTCCTCCTCCTCCTCCTCCTCCTCCTCCTCCCTCCTCCTCCATTCTCCTATTCCTCCCTTTTTGGGGTCTCGTTCTGATTGCAGTCGGACCTAGGACAGAAGGACATCGTCCAAGAACACGAGGCCCTCCGTCGGCCCAAACACACATAGAACATCCAAGGGTACCCCGCCCAGGGATGCGCAAGAATATCCAGCAAGCACGGCGAACACGAGGGCACCCTCCCCGAACCGACCTCGATCTTATACCCAGGTCTGGCTGCACGGAGGGACAATCCCGGGGGGATCAACCTCAAGCTGTGGGCCAGCGGTGCATCGCCGACGAGTCGGCGACAAGACCTCGGTGGAGAAGCCGCGCGCTCCGGGGCGGGGCGAGCGATCGTGCCTCTATCGGCGGTGAGTCTGGCGTTCGGGAGTCGACGCGTTCCCCTCTTGAGCCTACCCCCCCCTCATGATCCTCCTCCTCCTCCTCCTCCTCCTACCCCTTTCCCTCCCCCTCCTCCTCGGCCCTCCTCCTCCTCCTCCGCCTCCTCCTCCTCCTCCTCCTCCGCCTCCTCCTCCCCCTCCTCCTCCTCCTCCTCCTCGTCGTCGTCCTCCTCCTCCTCCTCCTCCTCCTCCTCCTCCTCCTCGGCCCTCCTCCTCCTCCTCCTCCTCCTCCTCCTCCTCGCCGTCGCCCTGCTCTCGGGTCACAACTCGCATCTCCAGCGGCCGCGCTGGACGATCCGGGCCCCCCCCCCGGACGCCCCTCGGCGATGCGCAGCCGCTGGAGAGCACCCCCGAGGCTGGAACACCGCAGCGCACCAGCGAAGACGTCGAGGAGGAGGAGGAGGAGGAGGGCCGAGGAGGAGGAGGAGGAGGAGGAGGAGGAGGGCCGAGGAGGAGGAGGAGGAGGAGGAGGAGGAGGAGGAGGGCCGAGGAGGAGGAGGAGGAGGGCCGAGGATGAGGGGAGGAGGAGGAGGAGGAGGAGGAGGAGGAGGAGGAGGCGGAGAGGAGAAGGGAAGGAGGCGGAGGAGAGAGGGAGGAGGCGGAGGAGGAGCCCCCCCCCCCCCGAGCCCCGCAGAGCTCGAACCTCGAAGGCCCTGGGCCCGTCCCCGCGCCTCGCTGCCCCTGACCCGCCAGAAGCAGGCGACCCGCGCCGGGAAGCGCGAAAGGTATGGCAAAATCGTCACCCCAGGCATGACCCGGGAGGGCACCCTGATGTTTTTCGTGCTCAGTTGGCTGTTCTCGTGCATGCTGGTGCTCTGGCTATAGCGGCGGGCCTCGCGCTCTTCCAGGCTGTCCTTCTGGTCTCGGTCCGACTGTAGCGTGCTGCTGTTATGTCGGGCGTGTCCCCCGACAGGGGGATTTTCGACGAAGAGTGAAAAATACTCCCCAGACGAAAGATGGCGACGGTTTTTCGATGTTTTCGGCACCTGGGGGCCCTCGCTGGGCCCCAACGCCGTCAAACGACGACTCGGGAGGAAGAACCGGCCCCAGGGAAAGGGTCGGGACTTCGGGGGACGCCGTCCTGAGAAAACTAGGACGTCGCATGTCCGGGTATGGCGAAGTCGCCACCGTGAAGGCGAAGCTGGCCAAGACCATCGTGCAGGCCTTCCCCGCGGAGGCCCTCCAGGACGAGTTCCGAGGTCGGCTACTCTAAGTCGGGCCCCCCCCACAGTTGGATTTTCGACGAAAAATAAAAGATACCCAAAAAGTACCCCAAAGCCGCCCAAAAATACCCCAAAAATAATCCCCAGACTATTTTTTGACTATTTTTGATTATTCCCCCTGTAGAGGGACAGGCCCGACTTACGGCTACTCGCAAGAGTGACCCTGGGTAAGGGGTGACCTTTGGTGCGCGGCTGTTTGGTGGCCGCGGAGCGACCAAACCCAAGCGCGCAACACGCTACTATCGCATCGCGTTCGACGGTCGGGGCACCCCGATGGGCCCGCATCATGATTTTCTCACAACGTCGACCCCCAGAGGCCTCGACCCATTCCCCGGGACCGGCTTCTCCTCCTGAAGCGCTTTTTGGCGGCCCCGAGGCCCGGCGAGGGCCCCCAGAGGCCGAAAATGGTGAACCCCCCCCCGTCTGGATACTCCAGATTTCGTAATAAAAGGGAGGGGCTCTGGACCCTCCAAGACAAGCCATTTCGGACCCCCCCCCATGGGAGAACCCTCCAAAACATCGTCCCCAGACCCCCCAGGCCCTCCAAGATGGCCTGGAAGAGACCCCCCCCCGAAATGAGACCCCCCTCCCTTTATTACGAAATCTGGAGGAGGAGGAGGAGGAGGAGGAGGAGGAGGAGGAGGAGGAGGAGGGGGAGGAGGAGGAGGAGGAGGAGGAGGAGGAGGAGGAGGAGGAGGAGGAGGAGGACTTCGCCCCCCCTTGCGCGTGGCGGAGTCCTGGTCGCCCGGCGTCGCCGCCAGCGCTGGGCTCGGGGCCTTCGCCGTCCGCGGCGAGGGCGCCTCCGCCTCTCCACTCGGGGGAGCGTGCGGAGGCCGCGGGGGGGGGGGGAGCGGGCGCGGGAGCCGCGGGGAGGCACGGAGGCAGTCGTCGTCATCAACCGCATCCTCCTCAGCATCAGCATCAGCATCAGCACCAGCATCAGCATCAGCAGCAGCATCAGCATCAGCAGCAGCAGCAGCATCAGCATCAGCATCATCAGAAGCAGCAGCATCATCACCATCATCATCACCATCACCATCACCATCACCATCACCATCACCATCATCATCATCATCATCATCATCATCATCATCATCATCAGCAGCATCAACATCATCATCATCATCATCATCATCATCATCATCATCATGATCATCACCATCATCATCAGCAACATCATCATCATCATCATCATCATCATCATCATCCTCATCCTCATCCTCATCCTCATCCTCATCCTCATCCTCATCCTCATCCTCATCCTCTCCGTTTCTCAACTATTCTCTTCAATCCTCCTCCTCCGGCGACGACGGCTGCCCTCCGCCAGCCTTCGTCCGAAGCACGCGGCGATCTTTACGCATCGTCTCCTTGAGACCGGGGGTGATGGTGGCGATTGCGACTGCCTCAAGCTTCTCTGGATCATAATGATCGTGGAGCGGGAAGAACCTCCTGTGGCTGTCGGTGTGTTGTCTCGCGCATGTCGATCACCTGGCAGTTGGGGATAAGAGTGAGGAGGCGGCGGGGTCGTCGGCAGTTTGCGAAGCTATGAAAAAACGCCGCAAGCGCTTTGCCCACATGACACAACGAGCCCGCCACAGGCGCCGAATTTCCGTCAAAGCAGTGTGGATGGGTCGCAAGTGGGTAGCGGGTGGGTCGCGGGCGGGTCGCAGGGTGGGTCGCGGGGTGTGTCGCTGGGTGGGTCGCGGGCGGGTCGCGGGCGAGGGCGACGACGGCAAACACATTTTTTTGTTGGTCTGCGGGGCGAGAGCGAACCTCTTCCGGTAAAAGCTAGGCGGGCCACGCGCAGACGACAGCAAACACAACGAAGCAGAATCCGCGCGGCGGAATCCCACAACAGCGGCGCACCCGAAGACAGTGTACGACCATTCGCCCCCCCTCACCCCGATTAAAACAGGGCCAGGATCGGGATACATCGCTCCAGAGCGTTCCAGAGCGCTCTCAGAGCGTTCCGGAACGCTCTGGAGCGGCCGCGGCGCCCAATACATCCTCCAAACCCGCCGATTCTCAGAGATTTCGAGTTATCCCGATCCGATTTTGTCCCGATCTTCGCGTCGTGTGAGTGTCGGCAGGGCGGGCTGGGCGTTCCGCCCGAGGCGTCCGCCCCACGGAGGCTCCCGAGGCCTGACGTCTGCCGCAGCCTCCAGGCCGGAGGGCGAGACGCTCTCAAAGCGGAGCTGTCGCCTCCTCCTCCTCCTCCTCCTCCTCCTCCTCCGCCTCCGCCTCCGCCTCCGCCTCCGCCTCGCACGTCCTCCTCCGCCTCCGCCTCGCACGTCCGTCCGCAACCGCCTCGGGGAGGGGCGCCGGGCCGTTCTCGACACGGGGCGCTCGCCTCCGCGCAGCGGAGCCTCGTCTTCGGCAACAGCCCCGGCAGCTTGAGGCAGGGAGGGGTGGCCGTTTGCAAGAGGGCTCTGCAAGGCGGCGCCCTCGTTTGGAACTACGAACGTATACACACACCTCCTCGTCCTCCTCCCCCTCCTCCTCCCCCTCCTCCTCCTCCTCCTCCTCCTCCTCCTCCTCCTCCTCCTGCTGCTGTTCCTCTGGAAACGTTGACACGTTCAACACCTGCACGGAGGCAGGGCGGGCCGATCTCGAACGACGATCACGCCGGATCCCTCGTCGAGCTGCACTGTCATACCTTTGCGCAGTCTCCTCCCTTTCTCCTCCTTCCCTCTTCTCCTTCTCCCCTGGCCCCTCCTCCTCCTCCCCTCCTCCTCCTCCCCCTCCTCCTCTCCCCCTCCCTCCTCCCCCTCCCCTCCTCCTCCCTCCCCTCTCTCCTCTCCCCCTCCTCCCTCCTCCTCCTCTCCCCCTCCTCCCCCTCCCCCTCCCCACTACGCGCTGGGAGGGTGCAGGGCAGTGGACTCACTCTCACAGAAAGGGGCTGCCGCCCGAATGGCAAGGGCACGGGGCGCCGGCTCCTCACGGGGGACCTCTTGAAGCGGAAAGGCAGTCACCCAGGGACGTACAGGGCAGTTTTTGAGACATAGGATCTTTAAACATAGGATCTTTAAACATATGGTTTTTTTGCTACATGATTTTGTGACACAGGATCTTTAAACATTTTTTTTAAACATATGGTGCATGAGCTCATCGTTGTTTTTAATGCTGAATCCCTGCATGTTTAATACATGATCCGCACGCGGAGCATGTATTCAAACCGGCACTGTATGTGGATGGGGACCTGGGACGGGAGGGTGCGTTGCAGCATCACTGATGCATCTTGGACTTAGCCTGATTCTCCCTTCTCCTCCTCCTCCTCCTCCTTCTCCCCCTCCTCCTTCTCCCCCTCCTCCTCTTCCTCCTCCCCCTCCTCCTCCTCCTCCTCCTCCCATTCCTTCTCATCCCTCCTCCCCCTTTTCCTTCCCCCTTTCTCCTCCTCCTCTTCCTCCCCCGCCTGCTCCTCCATGCCTTTTCCTGATGAATAACTCCCTCCTGTCGCACCCCGAGACGTGTCCGTAGGGCGGGCCCGGCGTTTCGCCTGAGACTTCCTCGCCATTCATGTTCCTCATGCTTAAAACTGTGCAAGAGCTTCACGGATGGAAGGCGGTTTTCAGAATGTGACTGTTCCTTCAGCGCCGCGCACATTCGCTTCAAATACTTGCAGGAGCTCCACATGGAGGGCAGCTCCTTTTCAAAACGTGGTTCCTGCCGTAACGCCGAGCGCATTCGTTTTGAACGTTTGCCGACAATGAACGGATGGACGGCGCTGTTTGCTCCCAAGTGTGGCTCTCGCCTGAGCTCCGCGCACAATCGCCTCAAAAGTTTGCCAGAGATTCACGGATGGAGGCGGGTAGCTTTCACACTGTGGCTCTTGCCCTAGCGCCGCGAGCATTCGCCTGAAAAGCGTGCAAGAGCTTCACGGATGGAGGGCGCCTGCTTCAAGATGTGGCTCCAGCTTGAGCACCGCGCGCATTACGTCTGCAAGCCTGCAGAACACATGCCGGATAGAGGGCGGCTGATCTTCAAAGTGTGGCTCTCGCCTCAGCGCCGCGCGCATCCGCCTCAACAGTTTGAAGGAACTTCACGGACCGAGGGCGGCTCCTCTTCAAACATGTGGCCCTCGCACTGGCACCGCGCGCAGCTGCGCTACAACGCAACTGCAGCTTCAAATATTCTCATGGTTGACGTCCCAGGAATCGCGTTCTGGCAAGACTCAGCACTGCAGGACGTCACAGTCACGTTCACTCGCGGTGCTGAAGGTCCAAGAACGGCCTTCTGGTGCGATCCAGGATCGTCGGGCATCGTTGATTCGCGTCGTTCAGTCACAGGAGTGGTGTGTTGGCACGACTGAGGATTCTTCGACTGCTGTCTTCCAACGGGGCATTTCCCACCGTGAGCACAAATCATTCAAGGGACCTCTGAAGAGGAAAAATGGAGGGAGGGAGTCCTGAGGGTGTCCTGCAACATCGTTGGTGCGTCCGGCTTTGGACCTCTCCTCCTCCCCGCTTCCCTCCTCTCCTCGCCTGGGCGAGGAGGAGAAAGGAGGAGGACCGGGCGGAGGACGGAGGAGGAGGAGGAAGCAGGAGAAGGGAGCAGGAGGAGGGCCCAAGCGTCGCGGCGCGAGAAGGGATCCTCCTTGCGACGAAATGCCTTCCCCCCCCCCCCGCCGAACGCCAGGGCCCGCCAACCCTGCCGGGCAAAGGGGCCAGCGGTAGGCAGTGCCGCCTTCCTCCTCCTCCTCCTCCTCCTCCTCCTCCTCCGCCATTAATGACTGCCTGAAGATACATAACTGCTGCTGCGAGGCTGCCAGAAGCAGTTGCCCTGCTCTTCCTCCTCCGCCTCCTCTTCCTCCTCTTCCCCCTCCTCCTCCTCCTCCTCCTCCTCCGCCATTAATGACTGCCTGAAGATACATAACTGCTGCTGCGAGGCTGCCAGAAGCAGTTGCCCTGCTCTTCCTCCTCCGCCTCCTCTTCCTCCTCTTCCCCCTCCTCCTCCTCCTCCTCCTCCTCCTCCTCCTCCTCTCCCCCCCTCCTCCTCCTCCTCCTCCTCCTCCTCTCCTTCTCGTGGAGGAGGAGGAGGAGGAGGAGGAGGAGGAGGAGAGAGGAGAGAGGATACGAGGAGGAGAGGAGGAGGAGGAGGAGGAGGAGGAGGAGGAGAGGATGAGAGAGGAAGAGGAGGAACGAGGAGGAGGGAGGAGGAGGAGGAGGAGGACAAAGAGGAGGAGGAGGAGGAGGAGGAGGAGGAGGAGAAGGAATAGGAGGAGGAGAAGGAGGACCGAGGAGTAGGAGGAGGAGGACGAGGAGAAGGAAGAGGAGAGGAGGAGGAGGAGGAGGAGGAGGAGGAGGAGGACGATGAGTGGAGGAGGAGGAGGAGGAGGAAGGAGGAGAGGAGGAGGAGGAGGAGGAGGAGGAGAAGGACGAGGAGGAGGAGGAGGGAGGGAGGGAGGGAGGGAGGAGGAGGAGGGCCCAGGCATCGCGGCGCAAGAAGGGATCGACAGCACCAGGGCGGAGCCGTGCCTGCTGCTCGTCCAGGCCCTCCGCCTCGCGGGCGGCCAGGCCGCGGCTGCGGGCGGCCGCCTCGAGGGCGTCCAGCCAGGCGCTCGCCTCGGCCGCGGAGGGCGCCCTCAGCCTGGGGAGCTGATGCAGATGGTGATGATGGTGATGTTGATGTTGATGTTGATGTTGATGTTGTTGTTGTTGATGATGATGATGATGATGATGATGATGATGATGATGATGATGATGATGATGATGATGATGATGATGAATGATGGAATGAATGATGATGATGATGATGATGATGATGATGATGATGATGATGATGATGATGATGATGATGATGATGATGATGATGATGAATGATGATGCTGACTGATGATGATATAGGAGGAGGAGGAGGAGGAGGAGGAGGAGGAGGAGGAGAAGGAGGAGGAGAAGGAGGAGGCAGAGGAGGAGGACAAGTCTGATGATGCTGAGGATGATGCTGATGATGATATTGAGGGAGGCGGAGAATGAGGAATCTGAACATGAGGATGAGGATGCGGATGAGGAGGAGGGAGGAGACGGAGGAGGAGGACGAGGAGGAGGGAGGGAGGGAGGGAGGAGGAGGAGGAGGGGGGGAGGGGGAGGATGAAGCGGAGGAGAAGGCGAGAGAGGAGGAGGAGTAGGAGGAGGAGGAGGAGAAGGAGGAGGAGGAGGAGGAGGAGGAGGAGGAGGAGGAGGAGGAGGAGGAGGAGGACGAGGAGGACGAGGAGGAGGACGACGACGAGGGCGAGGAGAATGCTGCTGCTGCTGCTGCGGCTGCTGCTGCTACTGATGATGATGATGATGATGATGATGCTGCTGCTGATGATGATGAAGATGAAGATGAAAATGATGATGATGATGTCAGGCTCCATAGGGGGGCTGGGTGCCTTGCGTCAGCAACTCTCGAATGGCCCTCTTCCGCTTGGCCACTGCTCGGGCCCTTGCCCGCATCAGAGCCTCGACCCTGCTAGGGCCAGCCTGGGTCGATTGGGAGCGCAGAGTGTTATACGTCGAGAGCAAAAGATCATGCACAAAAATGGCACCATGCACGGCTCTACAGGACAGCATAGGAGGCCTCAACAGCAATCGATCGATAGCATTCCACTCGAGGAAATCAGGCGGCAGCGACGGAATGATCTTAGGAAGAAGTGGCAGCGGCACAGGGCACTGAAAATAGTGGGAAATGTGGTCTGAGTCTGCAGCTCCGCAGCCCATGACACAGCAGCGGTTCCCTGATCGAAATCTGGCCGACGTGGGCCACGCATTACAAATAGACTTGAGGAGAGAGGAGGCAACGAAGGGGGCTTGTTTGGTAGCGGCGTTTAAAATGGCTCGAAAAATAAATTCGGCGTGGCCCATGGGGGCCTCACTCCAGAACTTCCGAATCCTTGGGAGGAGAAGGGAAGGCATTGATGGGCGACCCATGTTCTCGGCAACGGCAATCGTGACTTTTCGCTGAACATCGTGCGTGTATTCATTGATCGACGGGCAAATCGTCATGAGCTCGTCCCAATTCTTGATCAGGGAGCCGCAAATAGACTCTGCGAGCCAAGACCTGTGCCGAACAACAGCCAGTCGTTCGACGTCTTCGTGCTCTAGAAAATGCAGGCGTTCCTTCACTCTAGCGAAGGCTGAACTCTGAAGAGCGACCCGAAACATAGCGGCCTTGTTCGTGGCCTGGAGGTGGCGGGGCTCGACAGGGAACCCAAGGTCCAGGGAGTTCTTGAGGACAAGGGTGGGGATGGCGAACCTTGGGCCCAGGGTCAGCCTTTGAAGAGCGTTCGTTTCGGCTCGAATCACCTCGGGCCTAACCGGCAGTACCTGCATCATGTACGTCAGGATGGGGAAAGCTAGCGAGTTGTAGGCATAGATGTTCTGAACTAAACCGAGCTTCAGCGTCTTAATGTGCCCGACCCTGGAAAGATACTTGACCAGCACAGGATGCCACGAAGCCGCAGGCCCAGTAGGCCCGATCATCACTCCCAGATATTTCCCATGAGTGTCGACCTGGAAGGGCTTTATATTGATGCCCCACTTTTTGAATTCTTGATTAAGCTCGGTTCTATCGAACTCCGCGCCGATGACAATCACGCACTTCTTCAAATTCGGGAGCAGACCTGTTACGATCGAGCTCCTGAGAAAGTGCTTCATCATCGCGGGCACTGATTGCCTCAAGTCGGCCATCGCAGCGCCTACGTCGTCGGCGAAAGCGAACGGGGAGGAGGGGGTCGGTAAACGTGTCAAAATCATCTCCAGCTTCCGTAAAATAGGGTCAAAGGCCAGGGCGAAGAGGGCACCTGAAAGTGGGCAACCTTGTTTTATACCACGAGTGATTCGGTACCCAGGGAACTTTTTTCCAGCGAAAATGATGAAGGAGTAGAGGTCGGAATACAGCTGGCCAACTGCGCGGAGGATAAACTCTGGGATGCCCATCCGATTCAGCACGCGCAAAATCCATTTGTGGGACAGCGACGGGAACGCCGCTTTCAAATCCAGCAGGAACAGGCCAGCAAACGGGCAGTCGTTATAACACGCGTACTCTAGAAATTTGCCTTCAATATCGAGGATATTGTCGATCAGGTATCTTCCTGTCACGAAGCCTTTTTGCATCGGGTTAGTAGAAAAAACTGCCTGCTGGCCCATGGGCACACATATCGCGCTTGCCAAAAGCTTGTTATCGGTGTTGCTAAGAGTGATCGGCCGGACTTGCCCAGATGGGCGAACTATGGACTCATTATCATTCTGAAGGATATCTTTGGGAAGAAACACCGTTTGCCCATGATTAAACCCCGAAGGCAGACTGGCTCCTGCACATAATGCCTGGTAAGCTTCAAATAACACTCGGTGAGCGCGCTCTCCTGCGTGTCTCCAACACGAGTAGGGAATTCCGTCAGGTCCACAGGCAGAATCGCGGCGACTGATGACGATCCCTTGGAAGGTCCCGAAATCGATTTCCCATTCAATACCAGGGGCAGCCCGAGGAATATCATCCGAAAACTCGTTCATGATTTCCAGAAATTTTGGGTGAAGACCAGGTCCCTGAGAATGAACCTCTCCCCAGTGTGCCGCCAGCGCCTGTGCACATTCGTCAAGCGAGCCAAGAGGGGAACCGTCAGGAGCAGAGATGCCACTCAAGTTGAGACGCCGCCGCTTCGGCGACCATGATTTCAAACGTTGGTGAAGTCGAGATCGCTGCTGCTCGACTTCCTGTAAGCCATGCTCAGCGCTGGGTAGCTTCGCGAGGTCATCCAAAATTACTGCACTGCTGAGCTCATTCAGGTGATTATGGAACGCGTTATAGTCGTAATACTTGCAGCTGTCAGAGTCAATAAACCTAGATAAAACAGGGTAGGCCTTCACACACTTTTTGATCCAGGAAGAGGACTGACTCCGGAACGAACCAGGAGAGAGAGCCCGGAGGGCCCGCATGGCTTTTATGCACACCGCGATCTTTTGTTTGTCGGTCAGGACCCCGCCCTTGAACATCCGTTGAGTCAGCTCCTCCCTGGCGGCGAAAAAGATGTCCTTCAGCAGGCGCAGCTGTTGGAACGGGGAGCCGATGAGACCTACTTCTTCGATGAGGGATTCGATAGCAGGACCGAATTCGGGATGCTCTGAGACCCATCTGGGGATGCTCTGACTCTTAGATGAACCAGGAGACAACAGCAGATAAACAGGAATGTGATCGGAAACCTCATCGATGTCGTGCGCGAGTCCAATTGTACCTGATTTGGGGTGCCAGTCGAGTATTTCTCCAGTGGGGGCATTCGTGTAAATCCTGTCGAGCCGAGCGACCGAGGTGACCGTGTTACGTACTTGAGTCCTGTGGGTGCAGTCCGTCTGCGCAATCTCGCAGAAGGACGGGAAGACGGTGCCGAAGTGCCTGGCCAATGTAGTGCTCCCTACAGTGGGCTCGCTGCCATCGAGGGGGATGCGCACATCATCTTCCTCGACAAAGTTAAAATCTCCAGCCAGGAATGAAAGGCACGTGTTGCTGCTGGGAATACTTCGAGCTGCACGCGACATGAGATCATACTTAGCATGATGAGGCAGGAGGGGTTCGATGTGTATGTTCATGATCAACATCGTGCCGTTCGTGCCAGTCACCCGCACGGAGAAGCATCGCCCTCCACTGATATGGGTGATCACAGGTTGACCTTCAAACCAATTCATCACTGACTTACGTATTGAAATAGTGCAGCCACCACTAGACGAGACAGAGCAGAAGGAGCCGAAGTGGACGTGAGAGGGGAAGTCGCGCTCAAGAGAGCTTAAGTCGCCATCAGAACCGTGAGTTTCCTGACACATGACAATGTCATACTTGTTGATAAGCTGTGTTATCTTTGCTAGTTTCTTTCTTTGTCGTGCATGCGAGCCGCGCACGCTACCAAACAGAGTGGCCGAATTATATGTGACGATGCTTAACTTGTTGCGAATTATGAAAGAAGCACTCTCTTCAGCACCAGACGGAGGAGGAGGCACAGGAGGGGGAGAGCTGCCGTCCAGCGGATCTTGTGTGTGGGCACCCATAGCCAGCAAGGCTTCGCCGCGCACACGATCTGCCAACCTTGGCGAGCAAACGCCGTCCTCCAGACGGCGACGCGAAAGAGGCGGTGCGAGAGTGGCACAGGATATCTGCACAGGAATTTCCTACTCCGTCAGCAGCGCCTGGACACGATCTGAGATCCCGTTCGTGAACGATTCCTCCATCTGGAAGTGCTTGAAGCTCGTGGCGTCTACGTCGATCTCGAAGCGCCCGTCGCAGTTGCCGTTCGCATCCTTCAGCTTGACCATCTCGTATGGATCGCCGTTCTCCATCAGGTAGAGGATGCCTTGGAATGGGTTGGTGCCGAGCTTCATGGAGGATGCGTTCCACAACTTCTTGCTCTTCATCTCGGCCTGGATGATGTTGTAGGCGAGGCCCAGGGCGTAGGCCTTGTGCCTGACAGGCAATGGCTGGTCTTTGCCGAGCCGAAGGTCGTGGGTCTGCGATGTCCGTGGGTCGATCCATCTCATCGCGATGCCTTTGAAGTGGCCCCAGCAGCTGTCAGCCTGAGCCTTGTTCTCGAAATCGATTGCGTACGAGTACTTGAAATTCTGGAATTTTGGCGTCACCTTGGACGCGAGCTCCGATGGGAGATTCGTCTTGAGGACTGAGTAGTGCGCCTCGAACTGCGTCTGCATCAGCTTCCGTGGGAAGCCTCTAATCCAGAGGCGGCACGGGTTGCTTGCATCATATGGTCCAGCCGATGCCGCGCGAGGCCGACGTGCTTGAGATCCCGACGATGTGGTGGAAGAAAGCGATGGTGGCCTTGATAGTGTCGATACCTGCGAGCTCAGCGTGGTCACCTGATCCTGCAGTTTGACGAGGATGTCGGCTTTGTCGTTGGGGACGCCTGTGTTCATGGCGTCTATCTTGGAGTGTAGTTCGGCGAAGCTCCTGTTGGTGCTCTCCTCGAACTGGGCCATCTTGGCTTCGTTGGCTTGGACCCTCTCGCTGAGCATCTTGCATTCGGCGAGTCCCTGATCGACAGCATTGAACCTGGCCATGATCTGAGCGAGAGCATCCCCATTGTCGGCCGGCGAGCCCATGACTGGGGACGAGGTTGTGGCGTCAGACCTGGGACGAGAAGGATTGCTCCCACCCTCTTGGGGCCGCTGGTCGGGAGACTAGAAGTCACAATTGAAGGCCCTGTGCCTTCCAAAGCAGCTCGAGCTCCCCGTCGGCTGCGACCAAGGTCGAAGCGCCAGGGAAACGTTTCGACCTTGAGCCAAAATGGCTACGGATGATGATGATGATGATGATGATGATGATGATGATGATGATGATGATGATGATGATGATGATGATGATGATGATGATGATGATTGATGATGATGATGATGATGATGATGATGATGATGATGATGATGATGATGATGATGATGATGATGATGAGGAAGAGGAGGAGGAGGATGCGAAGGAGGATAAGGAGGAGGAGGAGGAAGACGAGGAGGCGGAGGAGGAGGAAGAGGGAGGGAGGAAGGGAGGAGGACGACAGATGCGCGCTCTAGCATGAACTCCTAACAACGTCAATAAACATGAACAGGAGAAGGAGGAGGAAAAGGCGGAGAAGGAGGAGGAGGAAGAGGAGGAGGAGGGAGAGGAGGAGGAGGAGAAGGAGGAGGAGGAGGAGGAGGAGAAGGAGGAGGAGGAGGAAGAGTAATGGGGGAGAAGGAAGAGTAAGGAGGAGGAGGAGGAGGAGGAGGAGGAAGAACAGGGAGGGATGGAGGGAGGGCGCGAGGGAGGGAGAGAGGGAGGCAAGAAAGAGGGAGGAAGGAGGCGGGTGGGAGGAGGGAGGGACGGAGGAGGGGGGAGGGAGGGTGGGAGGAGGAAGGAGTGAGGGAGGGAGGGAAGAGGAGAAGGGAGGAGGGAGCATGGAGGAGAAGAAGGAGGATGAGGAGGACAAGGGGGATGAGGATGATGGTGATGATGAGGAGGAAGATGAGGATGAGGATGAGGAGGAGGAGGATGATGATGATGCTGATGATGATGAGGATGATGATGATGATGACGATGCTGATGAGGAGGAGGATGAGGAGGATGAGGAGGAGGAGGAGGTGGACGGGGAGGGGAGGAGGAGGAGGAGGAGGAGGAGGGGGAGGAGGAGGAGGAGGAGGAGGAGGAGGAGGAGGGGGAGGAGGAGGAGGAGGACCAGCGTAAACCCAAGAGTCATCAACGATGTTGGAATACACCCTCCCTCCAAGCTCCCTCTTCAGATGCGTATACAACGGTTCATTTACAATGAGGGAACTGCCTCTTTGGAAGACAACCGTGTGAAGGCCCAAACTTATGCCAACACATGGGTCTCGGGATTCCACCGCCACGGATCAACCTGACTGTTGCATCTTGACGAGCCCGAACCGTGCCAGAACAACACCCCTGGGACTTTAACAACGCGAACCAACGTAACTGTTGTACCCTCATAATCCTGCACCATTCCAACACGCCGTTTCTGCTACGCTGGCCATGGGAATCCGTGAAACCCCTGCAAAGTGTGAAACGAATGTGCGCGGCGTTAAAGCGAGAACCACACTTTGGAAAAGAACCGCCCTCAACCCCTGAAACTGTACGAATGTGGGCGCTAAAACGAGAACCACACTTTGAAACGGAATCGCCCTCACTCCGTGAAACTGTTGCGCATATGTAAAACGAATGTGCGCGGCGTGAAGGCGAGAGCCACATGTTGAAAACGACCCGCCCTGAATCCGTGAAACTATTGGAAACCAGCGCCGCGAATCCACGCGCCCTGACAATGATCAACAATGTCAAAACACAACGCCTGGGCTTCAACCGTACGAGCCCTTGAAACTGCTGCCGCTGCTTAAGACGAATGTGCGCGGCGCTACGGCGAGAGCCACATGTTGAACAGGAACCGCCCTCCATGCTTGAAACTGCTGCAGTCTTAAACAGCATATGTGCGCGGCGCTACAGCGAGCGCCGCATTCTGGAAACGGCTCGCCCTTCGTTTTCGAGAGTGCGGTAAGCTTTGAAACGCATGTGCGCGGCGCTACGGCGAGGGCCACATGTTGAACAGGAACCGCCCTCAACGCTTGAAACGGTTGCATTCTTAAACAGCGAGTGTGCGCGGCGCTACGGCGAGAACCGCATCTTGGAAACGACCCGTCCTCCGTCTTTGAAATTGCGGTAAGCGTTGAAAACGAATGTGCGCGGCGCTACGGCGAGAGCCACACGTTGAACAGGTACCGCCCGTCATCGTTTAAGCTGTTGCTAACTGTGAAGACGAATGTACGCGGCGCCAACACGAGAGCCAAACTTGGAAAACGGCCACCTTCCATTCTTGAAGCTGTTGCCAACGTCAACCTTGAGGGCCATACGTGGTGAGGAAGGCTCTGGCGAGACGCTTGGCCCGCCCTACCGACACGTCTGGGGGTAGCTATTCTTTAAACCAGGAGGCTAGAGGAGGAGGAGGAGGAGGAGGAGGAGGAGGAGGACGGGGCGAGAAAGGAGGAGGAGGAGGAGGAGGAGGAGGAGGAGGAGGAGGAGAACAGGAATGCGAGGAGGGGAGGAGGAGGAGTAGGAGGAGTAGGAGGAGCGAGCGAGCGAGCGAGCGAGTGAGCGAGCAGAAGCTGAGAGGCAGCGGGAGTCCGAGCGGCCCACGCGGCCGAGAGAGACAGGGCAACGGCCCCAGCCAGCCTGCCCCCGCCCGCACCTCCCCAGGCGGGGACCGAAGCCTCCGGGGAGGCCCCGGGACGGGCGGGAAACTCACTTGACTCCAGGTTCCTCCTCCTCCTCCTCCTTTTCCTCCTCCTCCTCCACCTCCTCCACCTCCCCCTCCTCCTTCGCCTCCTCCTCCTCCTCCGCCTCCTCCTCCTCCACACTGACACAAGATGAGTACTACTGTCCTCTCTCCCCTGAGTCTGTGCAGAAGATGGCCGGCACCCCTCCGCGCACTGTTTTTTAACACGCAGGATTGCCGGGAGCTTGGTTCTCATGTGTTTTTGACAACCCGATTCTTTTCGGTCCTTCAAAATGTTGCTCCCACTGCACCGCTGGCCTCATGTCTGCGCATCTGGTCGTTCCAAATCGTGCTACTGCTGCATCTTTTGAGGAAGTCTCAGGCGGGAACCCCGTTTCTGGTTGGAGAAGGCGATGTTGAAAGCAGAGCCAGCGGGTGCTCTCTATCAACCTCGGGTCTCATGGGGAGCTGTCCGGGGAGCCCAGGAAGCTGAACAGGGAACCGCGAATGCAGACTGGCCCAGACCCCTCGAAGACAATCACCTTTTAAGAAACCCGCTGCCATGCCATCACATGCAGTGCGGTGTTGTGTTCTGTGCCGCTGTGCGATGCCATGCTTTGCGTTGGAATGTTTTGTGATACGCTGCTTCAATACGCAATGCCACGCCATACTATGACATGCTACGCTCTGCAATTCCCTGCTACGCAATGCTACGCCGTGCTCTACCATCCATCGCGTACCCTCTCGGCATCCTTGCCGTGCTCGGCATTCGGCTGTGCGAACCGACAGGATATCTGCGCCATGGTACGGGATGGGAGGGAGGGGTCTGGCTTCAGATGTTGCGCGAGGGCACCTAGCTTGTCCTCCTCCTCCTCCTCCTCCTCCTCCTCTTCCTCCTCCTCCTCCTCCTCCTCTTCCTTCTCCTCCTCCTCCACTCCTCGTGGTGTGGCCGCGGCCCCGGGGCCCCTGGGGGAGGGCGTGCTGTATAGCGAGCCACGGCTACAAGCGTCTACCGCGGCGTGGGATAGGAGGCTGGGGGGCGCCCGCGGCCTCACCAGCGCGCCTTCGACCACGAGGCGGAGCTCCTTCCCCGCGGAGGAGACCTGCAGGTCCTCCAGCCGACCGGGGCGACATATGAGCGAAGGAAATGATAATGTTGTTGCTGCTGGTGGTGCTGCCAATGATGATGACGATGTTGATGATGATGCGGGTGGAAATGCGATTGGCGATGGCATGATGATGATGATGATGATTATGATGATGATGATGCTGCGGTTGGTGATCATGACCGTGATTATGATGATGGCGATGATGATGCTGAAACTGTTGGTACTGATGGTGATGATGATGCTGATGATGCGGCAGGTGACGACGACAACGACGATGCTGATGATGCATATGATGATTACGATGATGCTGATGATGATGGTGATGATGATGAGAGGAAGAGAAAGAATAATAGGAGAAAGAAGAGGAGGAATATCAATATAACGGTGGTGGCGAACAGGAATATTCAAATGAACCGTACGGTGACGATACTGATTCTGGTTAGGATAATGGAAGTGACGGCACTCCTGAATAAGTTGTTGTTGATGATGGTTATGATGCTGATGCTGACGATGATGGAGATGACGAGGAGAAGGAGGAAGACAAGGATAACGGCCAGAAGGCCTTCGCCACGGAACACATAATACTGCAGGACTTCTCGGGGCGCGAGTGGCCCCTCTGGGGAACGTCCGACACGAGCACGCAGCGCAACCATCTTGTAGCAGATCGTTTCCCAAGCGGTGCGGCCGGGTAGCGCCCGCCACGGAGCAGATAGTGCACAAACAGCCCGTGTAGTCAGGATGTGCGGTAAGGATGCAGGGGCCGTGGGCACCCAGGTCCACGCGTTTCGAGCGGGGCGCCGCCAGCGAAAGCGGCCAAGGATGGACCGAGGAGGCCAGGATGCAAGGGTTCCCCCCCCTCTGGGAAGGTTGCCCATCCTCACTGTGCGGGCTGACTGTATGTGGGGGTCCCTGCAGGGCCTGGACGCGTGCTTGGCCCTGGCCTCGGCCCTTGGCCTGGACCGTCGCCAAGTCGCTGTCGGCCGGCCTCCTCGAGCTTGTTGATCCACTCGCTGCCTCGGGCGCACGTCGTGTTGATGCCCACGGGCGTCTGGCGGCCCTCGCCTCGGACGTCGCTCCCCGAGCGGCGCGGCCAGCAAGCGCCCGCCACGGAGCACGTGCTGCAGGACCTCTCGGGGACGCGCGCCGCCCCCCTGGAGGGGCGCGGGGGGCGACGCGCACGTTTTTTTTCTCGCCGGCGGCGAGGCGGCGAACTCCGCTCCAGCGAGAAGCCAGACAGGGGCACGACCTGCGGATGCCACGACAATGGACACCCTAACAGTCCTGTCACTGAGTCTAGAGCGTGCTTAACATGCCGGAAACATGTCATTCAACATGCCATCGAACATGTTTTAAGCATGCTTAGCACATGTGTGAGACACCTGGAAACTACTTGGAAACATGCTTCCTCTCCACCGATCGTCCTCCACAAACCTGGCGAATCGGCCGGCGGGCACAGGCGGCCTGGCAGGGCGGCCTGGCAGGGCGCGCGGGGCCGATTTGGGATACTTCGTCCTCCCCACCCTTCTGGCACGCGCGGGCGCAGGCACTGCAGGAGACACCAGGGCTGACCCGCGGCCTGCCGGCCGCGGAGTCTGCCCGCCACGGCGCGGACGTGGAAGTGGGGCGCCTCCAGGGCCTCGCCAGTGGGGGGAGGTTGGCATAAGGCGGCGCGGCTGGAGGCGGTGGCCGCAGGAGGGGGGCGGCCGAGAGGCAGAAGAGGGACGCCCGGCCGCCGAAGAGCTCGACGGTGGGCAGCCGGGGGGGGGGTGGGGGGGGCAGCAGCAGCAGCCAGGCGCGCAGGGCAAGGGGCGCGGCGGGCGGCCGCGGCGACCCCCGGGGGCGACGCGCGCGCACACAGGAGGAGGAGGAGGAGGAGGAGGAGGAGGAGGAGGAGGAGGAGGATAAGGATAAGGATAAGGATAAGGCCCTTGGGGGTCTGTCAACTTCGCCTACCGACAGGCATGCCGACCCCTGGGAAAAAATAGATGCGAGCCCACCCGTTTGCTTTGGGGGGGCCGCCTGAGGCGACGGGGCCCGCCTCTCTTGAGGCGTGGTCCCCGAGCCTCGCTAGCAGGGAGACCCTGCCTCGGCTAGGCTTTTGCACTGCTGCAGGCGGAGGGGAGCTGCCTCTCTGTGGGCGCGCCCCCCGCCGCTGAGAGCCCACCCACCCTCGCTCCCGCACTCCCCCACCTCCCCTCGCCACTCCCTCCAGGCGGCAAGAAAGAGAGGCAAAAAAAAGAAGGGCGGCCTTGTGCATCTCCCTACCCTGCATCTGTCTCGGCTGATATGGAATTGCATGGCCGCATTGGCCCACGCGCTGAGTGCTGCGCTGCCGAGCCTTGGATGCTCCCGCTGAGGGGGTGAGAGAAAAAAAGGGAGAACAAGGCCTGATGCGATGGGACAGCTCTCAGCTCTCTACTGCCCGATGCCCCAGCCTGCCGCTGCTGCTGCCCTTGGCGACGAGAGCCTCACATCCCTGCTCTGCGCAGCGCCAGTGTCGGCCTTAGTAGCGGCAGCTGGGGCGCTGGCCCCACCGCACAACACCACACCGCGGTTCTCCCAGCCCTGTACGCTCTTGCTCGGGCTTGGGCATGGCGGCCTGCGCGCGGGCTGGAGGAGATCCTGCTTCTCCGTCTCCGCCTTCGCCGTCGCACTCTGGGTGTCGAAGGAGGCCTCATCGTAGGCGTAGCCGTGCGGGCCTTTGGTCCAGCGGGTGTAGATGTGGTCGATCTCGTCGACCTGGCGCCTCGTGTAGTCGAGCTCCCACGGCATCGGCCCGTGCGCCATCTTGCCGAGCTTGTCGTCCGTGATGCTGATTGCGCTCCTCACCGCGCTGATGGCGTTGTGGATGTCGCGCAGCTGCTCCTTGAGGTAGTGCTTTGCTTGGCTGCGTTCTGCCTCTTCATGTGGATTGAGGCTCCTGCCGTTCATGCGCCCAAGCGTGGTCACCACCTTCTCCCTCTGCTTGTGCAGGACGTGGAGTGCCATCTCGCTGTGCTTGGTCGCCTCCTTGAACGCGTCGGGCGTGCTCTGGAGTGCGTTGTGCGCGATCTCCAGCCTGTGCGCCGCCGTGCCCGTGACCTGGTCAGCAACTCCCAAGCCCCCCCTGTCGTGCGGCTTCTGCACTATCGTGGGCTGCGGGTTGAGCTCGGCCTCGGCTGCCGCTGGCTGCTGCTCCGTCGCCCCCTTCTGCTCCGCCATGTTCGCCTGCGCCGCCATCGCTGCCCTGGTCGTGCTTCCGCGGAGAAAGCGAGCCCTGGATGTCGCGAGAATGCTCGAGTCGTAAATGTCCGCTGGTAGTATGTCGGACTGTGTACTGGGCCTCGTTTTACCTTAGTTGACCCCGCCTACTGTTGTTCACCTTAGGTAATGTAGTAGTTTCCTTAGTTCCCAGGTGTGGGGGCAGTAAGGAACCGTAGTGGGGGCCTTGGTGTAGGAGTAGGCGTAGGCTCGGTCGTTCGCTGGAGTCGGAATCCTGGGCCTGTCCTTAGTGTGCAATTCTTCCTCACTCACACTATCCGCAGAGGGTCGAGGGAGGTAGCAGCTATGATGACTAAGGCGGACTAAGGCTGGATGTGGCTGAGCGGAGGAAGGGAGGTCGAACCGTGGTCGGATCACAATCGCATGGCTGTGCTGAATGTTGTGGTGTGATAGTTCCCTGTGTATGATTTTCCCTTTGTAATGCGCAGTGTGTACTCTGTAGCATGTACTGTCGTTCTGTTGTACGAGGTCCGGTACGAAGTCGCGAATACGTCGGCTCCGAGCGGGCGTCCGCAATACTATCTGGCAGACGAGCCTCGTGCGGAAAAGAGTTCGACTGCGAATGGAACTAGTCGAGAGCTGATAGCCTGAGGAATAGTATATTGGAGGTGGGAGTTGGTGGGAGGGGAGAGCGTAGGTGGTGGGAGCCCGTGTAATAGAAGGGTAACGGCTGAATAAGTAGAAGGTCCGCCGTCACCCTCATTTTTTCGCCATAGGTTGGTAGTAGTCCCTTGGCCGTAGGTCCCGATAGTATGTAGTCACCCGATACAGGTAGGCCATCTGGCCTCCGTGTTGTTCGGCCTGGCTCCTGAGACTCGTCATACGAACAAGGTCTGTACTGATCTGCTGTGCGATTTTTTCCTCTCGAGTGACTGGCGGTGATGATGGTGGCCAGGCACGAGGGCGCCCCGTGGAGTTGAGGCGTGACTCGGGAGCGCTGCTCGACAACGAGCTGGAGGCGCCGCTGGGCTGCGGGCCTGGTGGGGACTGGCCCGCGGGGCTCTCTCGCTCGCGGCGGGGCGAGCTGCTGGGCTTAGGCTGAGGCGTGCCTTGGCTCACCTCCTGTTGAGCTGCGCCTCCACGGCCCTCTCCAGGCCCGTCTTCGGGCCCCCTGAGCGGCTCTTTGTGGCTCCGAGGTGCGCCAGCGCGTGGCCCAGTGCCTGCTTGAACATGCCCCCCTTGAAGCCCGAGATCTTGTCGTACTGCTCCTGCTCGAGCTTCTGGTCGTACAGCGCCGCCCTGAAGCTCGGCGCCGTGTTGATCGTGTAGATGAGCTTGGCCTTGCACTGCTTGATGTCCATCTCCACGTCTTCGCCCGTCTTGTTGTACGCCTCCTGGATCTTGCGCTGCAAGAAGACCTCCGTGATGAAGATTGGTCCCCAGGGTTCGTCGAGCTGGCTCATGAACTCTTTCAGGAGCTGCCTCACGTGGAGGAGGGGCGCGTCGAGCTTCTGCTCCTCTGAGTCGAGCACCGCCACGATCTCCTCGACCAGGCTCGCCGCTACCTGGCCGTGCGGTGGGCCGAGGCCGTGCCCCTTGCCCAACTGCTTCACCTTCCGTCCGTACTCTTTGCCTGTCTCCATCGGCGCCTGCACCCAGTCTGGCTCGAGCGGCGTCAGCCAGAACTCTCCCGCGAGATGCAGAAAAATGCGGATCTCGTTCGAGTTCTGGAGGGTGAGCTTCTGGAGCGATCTCAGCTGGTCCCGCAGCTCCACCTGGCCGCCTCCGCCACCACCACGGCC